TAAGATTTCTGAAATGTTTCATGCTAATTTCTCCCAATTTGATGAACATATTATTTGCTTTGTCACAGGTTGCACGAGTCTTGGATTTTTGCAAAAATGTTTACTCTTTTAACAAATGATTTCTGTTACCATAGGAACCAACTGACCAACATTGATGTCACCTGTCATACTGGTAGGACATTATAAGCAGTTGATTTCCTGTAAATATCAAGATATTAGATTAAATATTCTAGGAATTATACATGGCTTTCATAGTACCTGCTTAATGTGCACTTTTTAACAAGTGATTTCTGTTACCATAGCAACCAATTGTTACACATATTATTGAAACTTGTCATAGTGGTAGGACATGATATGTAGATGATAACCTGTAAATATCAAGATGATTGGCTGTATATTCTAGGAATTATAGATGACTTTCATTGTATCCCCCTTAAAATCACACCAGTGGGTATAAATCTGCATACTACAGGGTGTCAAAAAACAACGGCACCCCCCTCTACAGCAAAAAGTCTTTAATGTTACATATCGTGTCATACCTCATTTGAAAGATAATCTTATTTTGGAGTTACTCATCAAATTTCATTCAATAAAACTTTATATTAAAAAAGCTACATTGTTTCAAAGTTTGCTACTTCGGTACTTTGTTTGCTGCTCTGTTACTGGTTAAAGGTCAAATTTTAAGAAAGTGGAATATGAAAGAATTAGCCTAGATTTCAACTACACTGAACACATGGGCTCAGTTCTGGAAAACAGGGTATAGGAATTGATGGAAAAAGAGACTCTTGAAAACAGATACAGTAAGGATGTAATTCAGAAGAATGTGAGAAAAGTGCTAAGAGGATTATGCAATGCTACACCTTAATCTGAATTTTTATTGAAATCATATCAATCCAGATAAGCTGCTGTTCGAGCATCAACTGGTGGTCATACCAACTACTAAGAATCAGCTGTAACTCTGTAAAATTACATGATATAAAGCTGATATTTCAGAGGTAACTCCAGAATTAAATTATCTTTAAAATGAGATATGACAGACCACGTAACATTAAGTACCTTTTGCTGTAGAGGGGGGTGCCGTTGTTTTTTGACACCCTGTATAGTAACCAGTAGAACAACACTGATGTAACTTTCCATGATAGCCGAACATAATAATTCAACTAATATCTGTGAATATCAGGACAAATGATTATCTATTTACCTCAATAGTTTGAACATGAATAAAGAAGTCTTTGGAAAGTGCCACGTCCCCTTTCTAAATGTCTTTCGTAGCCATATAATCATCAGCAAATAGTATTCACTGTGTGGCTAAGATAAAACATTAGTTGATTTAATATTATCAAACATACTCTGAATAAGTTTTCTAAAACGTTTTCATGGTGATTCCTCCCAATTTCATGAAAATAATATGTGTTTTGTCTCAGGAGGTGTCTTAGATTTTTACGAAAATGTGTACTTTTTTAACATATGATCTCCGTTGCCATAGCAACCAGTGGACCAACTTGATGAAATGTCATAATAATATAACATTGTAAGTAGATGATTACCTGTTACTATTAAGATGATTGGTTGTATATTCTAAGAATTACACATAGCTTTCCTATTCCCCCTTTAAAATCACACCAGGGGGTATAAATCTGCATATTTTAAAAAATGCTGAAAACTAGACACCAATATTTTCAGAATTAATGTAGAATAATCAACCACAAATAACCTACATAAAGAGAAATTTGCCATCAAAACCACGTTTATACCACGCTCATCCAGTAATTAATTGGCTATACAATAACAAATTGTAACCAATAAGAGCCTTGTTGCAGTATACACAATTGATATGTAAAAGAATTATTCGATTTCAAAAGTAATTGGGGTTGGTGTAAAAACGGATAGCAAGATGACCGAGCAATATGACTATACTAATACAAATTGTAGGAATTTTTGAGTTGATCACAAATATGGTATTGTTTTTCTTATTCGTGCCCCAGATGAGATACAATGGTTTTTGTTCATGGTGAGACTGATATATGATCAAAAGAAGCAGGATATGATGTACAAAATAATACAAACATATGTAATCACAAGTTGATTGCTTCATTAGTGAAAATGTTTTTATAGTAATAATGCATTCAGGCAGCAAAGACTTAATTTTCACAGTTTCAATTGGAAAACACCTGAATTAATAATTTCAGTAAAATTTTGTCAAGGTAGATGAATTATTGCTACACCCATGATATACAAATTGACTGGTATGGGATCATATTGATATATGATAGATTGGTATGGGAAAATATTGATATCGGAGGGTTTAGCTTAGGACCCCTGCAAAAGTTTATATAAAATGAACAGGCCAGTAGCCAGCCCCCTCAGCAAAATGGGTCTTTAAATGTTTCCATATATGTGTAGTTAACACCTAATATCAAGAGTATGACTCACTAAAATTTAGAAAATACAAACAAGAGAACTATTTTGATATTGACTGTATATTATGTGTGAAACACATTATTCACAACAGATTTAATTACCATGTTCTTTCTTGGCAAATATTGTTTATAACAATGCTCAACACAACAATACCTGCTACATATTGACATGGGTTTAGGCAAATCAAAATGCTTGAACAGCCAATAATTAAAACGGTTGAACAGCCAATTAAAACGGTTGAACAGCTAATTAAAACGGTTGAATGGCTAATTAAAATGCTTGACTAGAAAAAGGCTTCATAGTCCTAGTTTCTGTTATATCTATTTTCATCTCGTGTTAAACTATATATTTATTTCTATTCTCTATTTCATGCAGAGGGGGGGGGGGGGGTAAAAATTTAAAAAGTGCTTTCAGATTTTTGAGGGTTTATTCAATAAGTGCTGAGAAATCTCAAATAGCAAGTATGTGAAACTGCAAATAATATTTTCAGAATTTTTTATTTCACTTTTAGTTTGTTTTACCATGGGCATTCAATAAATTGAAAGTCCATGTTTTACTGTATTCACAAGGGCAGAGCATTTGTACTGAAATAATATGTGTTAATGATTAAAAAAATCAAAAACAGGGCTTATTTTTCAAAACTCTAAACTTGGAAAAATCTGGAGGATAATATGGGAGATTTTCTTTGGCAAATTATTTATCAAGTACTGTGTATGGAATAATTTAAATTACATAGGATGTTTCCTTTATAGCAGACTCTAATCAAACTGAGAATCTCTCTGTACTAAGGTTTGTTTTGCCTTGCCGAATTATTTTTGTATTGTTTATGGATTAATGGATTAATAAAGTTTCTTTAGACACATCCTTCAAAGCAGACTCTAATCAAACTAGATAGACTGCGTCTAACTGTAATCAGAGTTTTTTAAGTTATGCTTTAAACACATCCTGTAATGTCTGATTGCATTTTCTCTATCAAATCAATAAACAAATTATTTTTTGATTGAAGGATTTCTTCTTCCAGACACGTCTTCCTCCCTTTATAATTATGATGATTGCAAGGTGAAGTGTAAAATCCAAGACTTTGACACAATCAAATTTTTTTCAAATGTTTTTGCAATAACTTAGAAAGTAGTGAATTTTGTAAAAAATGATAGTCATGACATCAAGGGGATTTGCTATGCCTTAGCATTGCTGTTATCTAGATAATATATACATGTGAATGGGACAATCACCATCCTTCAAAGTTAGATGAAAATTGGTTCAATATATTTTCATTCACAAGACAAGTTTACTAAACTATTTCAATACTTTAAATATCTTTTTGATCAAACCATTTAAATTCTGACAAGTATGCATGAAATACATACATTTGAAATATATTTTTAAAGAGCAAGATACTTATTTTATGTTGTATTGAGATTATATTGCCACATTTTCAATGAGGTTCCAACCAAAATTGTAATGGTTGCATCGTAACGGTTCGCATGGTTGCATAAATGATCGGATCAATGATTGTACAATGATTGTGCAACGGTTTAAATTCGAACTTTCAAGGTTGAATTTTTTATAAGGGTGATGCTCAGATTTTTCCCAAATCGTATTCATTACTAACGATATGGTTAATTTCAACAACTAAGATGATGTAAGATTGCGCAATTTTATCCTAAAGACAACACGTATGTTGAAATTAGTGATATTTTTCCAATTTTGTCTATTGGAGCTGATGATTACATCATGATAAATGAAATACCCTATGTACAATTCTTCTGATTTTCCAGAATACTTTATGTGCTATATCTGTAGCTCCAGCTACTGAGAATTTGAAGATACTACCCTATCCCTGTGAAATATTAAATAGAAACTTTACTAAAAAAAGTTGCCCCTTAAGAGCCTGTATGCTTAACACTTTATATACAGGAAAATAACATTTGACTACTATTATGGTTAGGGCTAAGACAAGAGTTTGTTATCTGTCTAATCTTTGACCGTCACAAAATGGACGTCGGGATATACAAGTGTCAAAACAGTTTCTGGTCCACCACAGCCATCACACACACCACTACATATTGGCATATAACCTGGAGTCCCAAACACCAGGATGTATTATGTAAAAATTCTTCACGGTTACGGATCTCTGTGCGCGGGTCGAGAAGAATGTTCGGAAACGAGAAAATGGTGGTGCGCGGTTACAGATTTTACGTTCGCGATGTAAGAATCGTGGTTCGAGTGCAAGGAACGTAGTTCGCAGTATCAGAACTGCTGAAATCTCGAAACCGAACCATTATTTATGACAAAGTTTTCCAATAAATGTGATAAAATCACAAAATGATTTGATTACCCAAGAGTCTAATCAACCAATCGGAGAACAGTTTCTGATTTCAGCAGATCGAAAAGTAATGATACGCAAGGTATGTTGTCCCGTTGTACTTGTTTTCGGAAACTGATACCTTGAAAATATTTTTGAAATCATTTTTCACACCGGAATAGCCTGACAACGGTAAAGTCAGATACCGTTGTCACAAATGGCGGACATAACCGCCGCTCATTTTGATAAAATCCAGGCACATTTATTAACTTACCAGTTAAACTGAGACTAAGCTGAGACATCTGGTCTGAAAAAGAAAAAGAACTAGAACTAGTGAAATTGATCAAGTTTAATTAAAGACTCCAGTATTCAGACTTCTTTAAGCTGAGTCATCCAGAATAAGCCGACTCCTTCAGAATTAAGACATTTAAACAATTCTTAAGTAGATTTTCTTTGACTCAATTGCCGAAACATTAAAATATCATCATATGAGTTTTTCGAGATATCAAACTTTTCGGACACGATATCTCAAAACTGGGTCAACATTATATCTGACGGCAATATTAGCCTTGAGGCCTCTTTTATAGTAGTCTACTAGTCTTTCATTAATTTTATTTGTATCCAGTCTGTATCTCTTAATTTTACAATTCATAATTTTCTTCGGCGCCGTTGACCTAATATGGGATAACAATTAGCTGTTTTTCAAAATTTTAAAGCGCCATATATTCTTAACCAGAAGCCGAATCGAAATTTTGCAGATTCAGATTCGTGAGAAAATTCCTTTATGTTGACCTACTTTTTGGACACGATATCTCAAAACCGGGTCAACATTATATCTGACGGCAATATTAGCCTTGAGGCCTCTTTTATAGTAGTCTACTAGTCTTTCATTAATTTTATTTGTATTCAGTCTGTATCTCTTAATTTTACAATTCATAATTTTCTTCGGCGCCGTTGACCTAATATGGGATAACAATTAGCCGTTTTTCAAAACTTTAAAGCGCCATATATTCTTAACCGGAAGCCGAATCGAAATTTTGCAGATTCAGATTCATGAGAAAATTCCTCGCCCCTTTCATAACTCACTCATTAAACGAGGATTTTTTTTGACCTACTTTCACGACAACATATCTCAAAAATGAGTCAAAATACTTACTGAATTAACATTATATTCTTTGCTGGTTATTTGTACACCAAATTTCGAAAATCAAGAATATTATTAAAGTGTAGTGTCAGAATTTCAATATGTAGAACAAATATACATTTGACCTTGATTTAACCTAGGCCTTTTAGTGTCTAAATTTTGAAGGATATAGATTTTGAGGCCCGCTTCTAATTAAGTTGGTTGCGTGGAGTTTGTATCTTTATTTATACATTTTAAAATTCTTTTCAGTCCCACTGACTTTACATTGGATACCAAAATAGCGATTTTTGGAGATTTCAAAACGCCATAACTTCCGAACCAGAAGTCGGATCGAGATTTGGTTTGCTAATTTGAACTTTCGACCTACTTTTTGATATTTCACTGATTACTCCAAAAATCGTTAGAAGAATTAAAAATACCTATCGGAATTTGCTTTTTAAAGGAATATGATGAAAAAAACAGGAGGAAACATATATTTAAGGACAATTGAGAAAAGTGGTGAAATGGTAAAAACTGAAGATTTGACCCAGTCCTCGACCTTTGACCTAGGTAAAAGTTAGACCTTTCTCTTAATCCTTAGATTATCATGTAGTCTGTTCTAGCCCATTAGTGTCTATGTCCCAAATATGTGACGTTTTTATCTCTGTGTATATTTGAAGATGGCAGCACTGTCTCATTAGTACTCTATATTTCTTAGAAAAGAGAATATATGGGTCTTCAAGTTCAAGGTCATTTTGTTGAAGACGTCTTTTGAAATTTTTCCCAGGAAGGAAAAGCCCCTCAAATCGAAATATCAGTCTAAGAATGAACACCTATTCCAGGTTAGTTAGAGTTAGAGTTCTTATATACTACTTAAAACTAAAAAAATATCTGAAATATTACCTGAAGAATAAATTCAATTATTGCTCTTTTAAATGATGCCACCCTTTACTGGCTGTGCTAAAGTTCTGATCAAGAACAATAGACACATCTGGAGCCTAGTAATATTGATAGCAAAGAAAATTGCGACAACAATAGATAAGAAAAAATGGTAAAGATAATCGTGAAAACGATAATATTAGTGCTTTAGATTCAAAAATTATACATGTACGTGTGACACTGTCTACATCATAAAGCTGGAATTGGAACGAACTAAAGTAAAAATAACAAAAATTTGAGAATCTTTTTCAATTTCACTTTTGGGTCAACTTGAAATCTCATCCAATTGAACTTTAATTGATGTTTTTTTTATCTTGATTTATTAAGAAGTATTACTTTTAGCTAATGCTCCTGCAGCACTGAGAATGGTACCAATCGTAGCTTCTCTTAGGAAACCCCTTCGTTCAGTTTGAATTATCAGTTTAGATAAAGTCTGTTGAACAATTCGCTTAAATGTGTCTAGTGTCTTCTTGGAATGTTCGTTTGTAAAGGCTAACGTTCCGTCTTTGGTCGAGTCCAACGCAGTCCTCCAAAGTACTCCGCCTTCAATTTCTGTAATCATAATTATTAGGTTTTAAGAATATCATCTAGTTTCAAGTATTATCATCATACTGTCTCGCACATCACCTTTAGTGGAACGTATCCCGGCCCTTATTTGAGTAATTTTTAAAATCGTTTTTGAAGGAGATTTAGAGGTTGCCCGGTGTAAAAGGGTAAGAGGTCCTATCAAAGCATGGTCCCACTCGCCATTGATTTATATAGTGACCTCTTTCCCTTGTTATCTTATACACAATCAGGGCCAGTAAGGGCCGTTTGAGGGGGACCATTATCCCCGGGGAACCATACTTTATTTCACACCGGCAAAGTTACGTCGGACTTCAATCCTACTAGGGACGTTTTAACAACGAGTTGAACTGTCTGAGGACGTAATGAGAACGAGGTAGAACTAATTGCAAACTGGTTTAAACTGATCAAGAACGTATTTAAGACTGCTTATGAACGAGTTAGCAAAAATATAGCTATCACACCAAACAAGTTACCATTGCGTTCTTCAAAACTGGTTTTAAACCGTGTGCGAAGTGAATGAACGTACGTAGCTACAACGTTCTACAGTCTGTTTACGATCTTCATGGAATTTCCCGGACGGGAAATGTGATTTAGAATTTTGAATCGATTCAAAATTCGATTGCGATGTTGCACGCCGACGTGGTGCGATCTGAACGAACTGAGAATGAGATGGACGTATTGAAGACTGTTTATGAACGAAGTAGCTAATTATTTTAGACATATTTCCGACCACAGCCAGATTGATCCCGTTTTGCGACGTTTTCGTAGGACTGGCAAGAACAGGTAAGAACGGGTAAGAGTTTGGTGTGATAGGGGGGTTAGTCGAGTAGATCAGCTTATTTTGTAGTACGTTGTCACGCGATCTTAATACACCACCAAACAAAGTTCAAGGAGGATATAGGAAAGCCATCCGTCCGTTCGTCTGTTCGTTCGTCCGTCCGTCCATTTGTCAGGGCGATAAATAAAATACCGGTTGACGGATTTGATTCAAATTTTATAGGCGTATACCTTATGGCGATAGCTGGTAAATATTAAAATGGAGGCCATTTTTCATGAAAAACGTAATCTTTGATAACTCAAATGCCAGTGGAAGGATTTGATTCAAATCTATATGCTGATGCCTAGGGTCAAAGTAGATTTGTACTGAAAATAATTTTTAAGAGGGCGGCTGAATTTAAAAATGGCTGCCATTTTTCATAAAATCCTTATCTTTGATAACTCAAATATAAGTTACCGGATTTGATTTAAATTTTATATTCAGATGCCTAGCGACAAAGGAGCTACCCTCAAGAAGATGTTTTAAAAATGGCTGCTCAATATCAAAATGGCTGCCATTTTTCGTAAAAAACGTTAACTCACATACCAGTGAACGGATTTGGTTCAAATTTTAAATGCTGGTGCATAGGGACAACGGAGCTACCCTGAAAAAAAAAATTCAAAATGACGGCCATTTTTCATAAAAATCTTTGATAACTCAAATACCAGTGAACGGATTTGGTTCAATTTTTTATGTTGATGTCCAGGGAAAAAGTAGATTTGTTCAAGAAAGAATTTTCAAGATAGGGACTGAATTTAAAAATGGCTGCCATTTTCATAAAAACCGTAATCTTCGATAACTCAAATACTAGTTGAAGGATTTGGTTCAAATTTTATATGCTGATGCCTAGGGATAATAAGCTATGCTGAAGGAGAGATTTTCAGAATGACTGCTAAATACCAAAATGGCCGCCATTTTTCGTAAAAAATGTAATCTTTTGTAACTCAAATAGCAGTGAATGAATTTTGTTCAAATTTTATATGCTGATGCCTAGGGACACATTTGCTCTGTTCGAGAAAGATTTTTAAAATCGCGGCTGAATTTCAAATAGGCTGCCATTTTTCATAAAAAATGATTATGATCTTTGATAACTCAAATGCTAATAGATGGATATGGTTTACATTTTATATGTTGATTCCTAATGACAATCAAGCTCTGCTCAAGAAAGAATTTTCAAGATAGCCGCTTATAAGCAAAAAATGTTTTGTTCGTTGGGAATTGCTCCTCCGTGGAGTTGCTGTTTTTCAAGTGTCAAAACGGTATGATCGCCATGGCATTTTGAAATGATTCAAAATTCCAAATCACCTTCCCGTCCTAGCACGCCCCATTAAGTTCGTTGACCGTAGAAAGTTGCAGCTACGTTCATTTCTTGACTCGTTCAGAAGCAGTCTTCAATTCCTTCCTAATACTTTAAACCCGTTTGCAATTAGTTCTTCGACGTTCTAAATAGTCCTCAAACAATAGAACTCGTTCAGAAATCATCCCTTCTAGGATTGAAGTACGACAGCGCCGTTCGTCTTAAGTACGTTCGTTCTTATTACAGAACTTGACAACCATCAAAAAATTGTGAGCATATTGTTACCCTATTATCACACCAAACAAGTTCTCACTACGTTCTCGAAAACGGGCTTCAACTGTGTACGAACGGACTGGACGTACTAAGAACCGTTTGGGGGTATATTTACAAACTTCATCGAACGTACTCGAACGCGTAGGTCCTCTAGTGACAACCTACTAAGGACGAGCTGGACGTACTACGAACGGAACCATCGTACTTCAATCCTCCCAGGGACGTTGTTACAACGAGTTGAACTGTCTGAGGACGTATTGAGAACGAGGTCGAACTAATTGCAAACGGGTTAAAACTGATTAAGAACGTATTTATCAACGAGTTAACAAAAATATAGCTAACACACAAAGCAAGTTGCCACTGTGTTCTTCAAAACAGGTTTTAAACTGTGTGCGAACGGAATGAACGTAGCTACAACGTTCTCCGGTCTGTTTACGAACTTCATGGAATTTCCCGGACGGGGAATGTGATTTGGAATTTTGAATCGATTCAAAATTCGATGGCGACCATACCGTTCTGTTATCAGGTCATGATGACCTTCTAGACTAAAGCTACGTTCACACCAACGCCGCTTTGATGGCGCTTTAAAGCGGCTTTTAAAGCGGCACCAAAGCGTAGCAAAGTTTGATTAAAGCGTCGGGGTCGTTATAGGGAGTAGAAAAGCTCGGAGTTAAGCGGGATATTCGGCAAGAGCACTAAAAATGTAAACTGTTCAAGCTACGTTCGCACAGACGGCGCTTTGATGGCGCTTTAAAGCGGCTTGTAAAGCGGCACTAAAGCGTAACAAAGCTTGATTAAAGCATCGGGGTCGTAATAGGTCATGGAAAAGCTCGGAGTAAAGCGGGATAATCGGCAAGAGCGCCAAAAAATGTTAAACTGTTTAAAAAATTTGGGCGCTCTGTTATGTATTGATTAAATCGCCGAGAGCGTATCAAAGCTTAACAAACAGTAACAAAGCTCAACAAAGCTCAACAAAGCTTGACCCAAAGTGTAGGAAAGCTTAACAGAGCTTGGTTCAAAGCGGGGACCCCAGTATCTTCACGGTCTATTACCACTTGACACGCTCCGTTAAGATGTCTCAAGATTTGCTACAATCTGGCATGAAGATCTGACACGAGGTCAGATATGGTGTTAAAACTGTATCAAAATTGGACATCTTATATATTTATGTGATATCTCTAACACATAGAATAGCGTTTAGCAGAATACATACACAATCCGTGTGATTTCATACACGGTTTGTTCGAGTTTGCACACTTTATGTTTGTAAAATCACACTTGTACATGCGTATTTGTGTATGCATTGTTTAAAAATTACATCGAACAGGGTACACAAGTCAAACAAATGCTTATGCGGCTCGCACAAACGTTTTTCCCTTCACAAACCATGATGTGCCGATCACACACCTTGATGTACCGATCACACACCTTGATGTAACATAAATTGCTTTCTAGAGATGTTCGAGATTTTGTTCTAAATCTCGCGTTACTTTTGCACTGAACGAAATAACAAATCAGCGCGGCAAAAAGATAAAAAGATCTAGATTGTAGTTTCTCAATAAATGGCCACTGTACATCTCCCTAGCCTAGGGCCTAGGGTATCCTATTATATATTTTTAATTTAAAATTTACATTTTATAACATTTCAACGAAGGGCGCCATATTGTAGAAACCAGGATGTAAATATCATGTGATTTCAAATCTCGCACCCTATGTGAAGTGCAACTTGTTTGTGACAGCCTATGCGAGCGGGAACCATCCTATGCGAGTTTGACCTCAATGCGTGTGTAAAATTGACACGTTCGTTCGAAATTTACTTTGATCCATGTGTAATTCTTTCAGTATTCTATGCAACTTATAACACAATCCGTGTGACATTTCAACATTGCTTTTGGATTTTTGGAAAGTGATTGGAGTTAGTGCTAACTCTTTGTGTGTCACTTGATACAACCAGTGCGTGTGTGAATGAAAATAAGTTATGTAAGAAAATTAACTGTTGGTATAACATGGATTGAAAATGGCATACGATGATGCGAGTTTCGCATATAATGATGCGTATTTCGCATAGTATGATGCGAGTTTCGAATCATATAGTTCGAGTATCGCATCATATAGTTCGATTTTTCCCATACATCATGTAATGTCCAATTTTGATACAAAATAAATTCCATAGTCAGACGCTTTCATCAATATCTGACACTCTTTGTTACACTTTCATGAAGGATTCTCAAGCTTTCCAACGTATGGAGACGCTTTAATCAAGGATTGAAACGTTTTGCTAGGCTTTGTTACGCTTGACAAGTTTCCACACGCTATATCACGCCGTGCGACAAACATCATGTCTTCTTCAGATAGGTCATGCTCTGGTCCATCTGGAATTTTTGGATCTTGTTGTTCTGCCATCGTGTTCTCGAGTCAAAGATGCAATGGTTTTATGGATCTACTGCATCTTTATAAAGTCATTGGATCAAAAGCGGCATGAAATCGTCGATCTCGACATTTTCCAATGCTTGACAGAGCTTAACAGAGCGTAACAATGCATAACAGAGCTTGGCAATCGTATTAGAGCCTGATTTAAAGCGTCATAATCGCCTCAAAGCGTAATAATGCTCATCAAAGCTTATTAAACGGTCAAGCCAAGTAACTTAGTCAACATTCGATAATCGTATGTTCATCAGTATTTACTAAGAATGGTGCCACAATTGAAGTAAACCTCTGGTTAATTATTTTCAATAAACCTATTAGCAAACGTGTAAATGATAATTTTGATGTTCTGTTACATATTGGTGAAGCAATCTTTGGGATATGACCTAACTTTCTGATTTTCCACTGTGTCCCTGTATACCCCTACTTCAAAAGATGTATGTTATTTGTCATTTTTCATTATGAACCAACCATAAATGTATTTTTTCTTGTTTACATACAGAATGAACTTTCTGTTTTTAAATATTGCAAGATGGTACTGCATTTATTTGTTCATGATAAGGAGCAAACAAATGCGTGTCAATTTACACTGTAATATCCTACATACTTATATTTCAAGGGTAGTATTGAAGAATAATCAAGAAAATCCATGTTTTCAAATGGATTCATCCTTGTCAAAGAAGGTAAATGAGGATATGCGGTTTGAAAAACTAACAACATGTTTCAAGTTCTTACAATTCTTGGTTAAAACAAATAATTTGGAAGTTGTGATTTCGAATGTAATATCCTGCTCGATGACATTTGTTGATATTTGTGAATTTTTTCTTTCGGAATGCACATTGCTGGATAACAGAACCTTGCCTTGTTCGAGATGCACGAAAAGTGTATTGTTAATACTTGACGTCGTTCGGATATCTGGATGTGATTGACGTTTTCGTTAATCTCCTACCACTGTAACTTCCAACTTAATTTTTGGAAGCCAAATGTGATAGTCACGAATTGATATTTTAGTCACACGTTTATGCATACAACATGTGTGTACATTAACTGTCGAATACATGCCGACTTACATTTTTATAAATATCCACAGTTAACTCAAATCATCAATTCTCAAAACGGTTTATCATATAACCCGGTGAGTTTAATGGTTAATTTTAATTTATAATTATGGTATCAGATTTGAGTATGATATAAGTCGAGGCTTAAACGAAGCAATAAAATTACGTGTAACCTTTTGCGAAAATTCGAACGATTTTTCAAGAATCCTCTTTCAAAGTGTTACCAAAGTGCTCCCCGGGAGTGGAAATTTCGTCTTGTGTAATCAAAATTAGTAGCGGGTGGTTTGAATTTTTGTTTGAGTTTATTGCTTACATCTATAAATTTAAAACCATGTCGCCTAATTAAGAGCTACATGCAGATTTTGGCGATCTATCATTATAAAAGGCTAAACATTGTGCAAAAACAGGAGTTGACACGCTTTCATTTGGAAATGAAATTTCCTACATAATCGTCGGCTCATGTTAGTTTAAAAGTCATGAAAACAAGGTTGAACACAAAACATTGACCCAATTACTGTCTATTTAGCATGGGATCACCAAGGGAAATATTATTAATGACTTAAATCGTTTACAATTAAGTTGTATTCCAAGACACTTATCAATTTAGAAATGCAAATTGTTCAATTTTGTTTTTCAATTATAAAAAATGGCACCTGTAGAAAACAGCGTTTTCAAAATTATTTAAAACAGAGATATTTACTTATGTAACATTCATTGGCATATGTCAGGGAGTAAATAAGAAGAATGTGCATTTGGTTCTATATCTTGTTCCCAAAGGAGTTTGTTAAGGAGCGGTATATCTTAACGTACTTTTATAATCCCGAACTCAAACATTTCGAATACTTATTTCGAGAACGCTTTGTCGAGAATGGATTCGAGATGTACTCAAAATTAATACGTTAAAATGTGTATTACCATCTTAATAACCACCTCACAAATTATTTTGGAAATCAAAGATGTACGATTTTTGAGATTTTTATTTTCGAATGTTGACTTACTTACTTGACTTGACTGTAAAGCGTGATTTCAAGCGTAACAAAGCCTGGTCAAAGCGGGATCAAAGCGTGAGGAACCTATCAGAGCTATGTTCAGCTTTCCTACGCTTCGGATCAAGCTTTTCTGAGCTTTGTTATGGTTTGTTAAGCTTTGATACGCTCTCGGCGCTTTAATGAATTCGTAACAGAGCGCCCAACATTTTTGAACAGTTTAAAATGTGTTGGCTCTATTGCAGAATATCCCGCTTTACTCCGAGCTTTTCTACGACCTATTACGACCCCGACGCTTTTATCAAGCTTTGTTACGCTTTGGTGCCGCTTTACAAGCCGCTTTAAAGCGCCATCAAAGCGCCGTTGGTATGAACAAAAATGACAAAAATGACGCCGCTTTGCTCGCCGATTTAAAGCGTGGCATTCGCCGTTGGTATGAACGTAGCATAAGGAACGCGTTATACGACGTTGCACACCGACGTGGTGCGACCTGAACGAACTGCGAATGAGATGGACGTATTGAAGACTGTTTATGAACGAAGTAGCTAATTATTTTAGACATACAGTATTTCCCGACCACAGCCAGATTGAGCCCGTTTACGACGTTTTCGTAGGATGGCTGAGTTAGGATGTTTAGAACTTGTTTTTTTGAGAAATTGCTTGAAAATGACACCATCTCTATGGTTTCATAGAACAAAAATATAAGCTAGTTTTATTTATAGTATGGTTAATACGCTTTCGAACAAGCCATAATACAGGTTATCTGACTATTATTGACTGAGATACAGTTTTCAATACTATATTGTGATACGTGATTTGCGTTTCGATCATAATAATTTGAATAAAACATGATTTTTCAAAAACTAGAGATCATATATCCATGAAATATTTTTTGGTAGGTTCTGAACATGTCTGTCAAATGTGTGCAAGACTATATAACCATATCTTTATTAGTTTTGTAGAAATACTTTTTTGTCTCTCCTATCCAAGATTGTTCCATTTCGCGGCTATTTTTAGTTATTTTTCCATCTGAATACGCATATAATTCACAAGCGTTGTATCAAAATATTACACAATAAACAAGTCGATAAGAGTAAATTGCATTTCAAGTTCTAGATTTTGAGAGAAATAATTTTTCTCCACCTCAGGTGGCTTTATTTTTTTAAAATAAATATTTACTAAATATAGAGCCAAACATGTGATTCTATGTAATAGTTTGATTATGTGCCAGTAGAAACATGTGGCATCCATAATTTATAGCAAAATTAATCATAAAAATATTTCCCCCCCATTTTTCGATAGTTCATTTCGTCAAATTTCGTCACCTGAACCCCCCCCCGTCCATTAGTGTTATGAAAAATACGTTGTACACATTAGGGTTAATAGAATTCAAGAAATCCTTCCATACTGTGCGCCAATTCAATTAGCGATTTAATAGTAAAACTCTTTATAATTTGTTGAATTTTATAGCAGAAATCGGCTATTCCCTATCCCTTCCGTTCATTGTCAAATCATATTGCGTTATACCAAAAGTGTTTTCATGCTCAAAAGTCTTTAACATTTTGATATTTTTATTTGGAAAACATTTACAATATATTTATGAGTGACGTTTACAAATTGTAAACTACTTATTCCAAAGGACTGGAGTTCATAGAAAGTTCAAGAATAAAATAATAAGGAAATACAAGATCTCAATCAGGTACTGTTACAAAGTGTAAGGTGTGACAAGAGAAAACACACAGATAACTTTTTTACTTAGAAGAGCAAAATGGTCATAATGTTTTTACCCAGCATGACCACAACATATTCAGATCTTGGCACTCTTGCATGTGTAATCAATTTCAAGAAAAATAGAATTTTCAATTTTCTTCAATTTTAAAGTGATATAGCCCGAATTTAAGGCAATTTTAGCAAAAAACATTTGATATCATCTGAAGAACACTGTCTTACCTTGATACTAGGATAAATTCAATCCATATAACTTAAGGATAGCGGAGATTTCTCATATTGAAGTGGGTACATATAATTTGATTTCACATCGTCCACTTCGAATTATGCGCTCAAATTGATGACGTCACCAAAGTATGTTTGTTTACACATTTTCCTGCATTTCGTTCAGAGCAATCTTGCATATAAAACTTGGGAGAAAATGTGACCTACTTTTGAAAAGAGTAATTTTCGTGTTCTGTACATAGTATGTACACAATGTTTTATTAATTATGCGTTCCTGATATAATAGTTATACTTTTGCAAGAAAGAGATTTAGTGATTGTTCTGAAATCCGCCAGAAATAAGTGGAACCTAGAATATGAAAAAATTCTCCTAACCTCTCAATTGGAATAGCTCACAGGTCATAGCCTCGTTCTGATTATTAGTCACATGACCTTTGGCTAGGGAATCCCCAACAATGTGCAAATGTGAGTAGACTCATTTCTGTTGATAACGCTGAATTGTGAAGTCAAAACACAACCAAGGTCAGTAAAAACGATGTTTATATGTACCAGTATGCTGTGGGACTCAGTTTTTCTTGATCATAAACAGGTTGAACTAACATTTCATCCGTTCTCAATTACTTTAATAAACAATAATTGTGGTCTTGAACTTTGAGACATTTAAAATGACATCGTTTGTGATTGAGAATGAACATTTCACCTTATCAGACCTCAGTTTTTTTTGTCATTAAACCGACCCTTTGACTTATTAAAGGCCACTGAATGTCAACTAAAGATATTTCAGAATTAATGCCGAATTTGAACTTGAAGGTGATTTAAAAAAATATTTGGTCTATGTGAAGCAAGTTCAAAAATGAAAATGGACAATTTATTAAATAATTCAAAATGGCCTCCATATTAAGCCTAAAACCTAATCAGATATTGGCGCTATAATGCTCTTGCATATGGGGAAATATTACATCGGACGGATGCTTAGTTTCCTAGAATATTGAAAACAAGTATAACAATAAAGCACTCTATTGTCAAAGTGCATTAAACATATACATGAGTTCACAATGTTTACATAAACTTTTCTAAAGATGACAAATTGTGGTTAAAAACTAATTCAGATGTTTATATAATTTAGGTGCTCGGGACCTATTGTACAAGGATTTACTTTGTAGTTTGGGATTTGTGGTCTGCTCCAACTTAAACAGGGTTTTCAGTAGCACGTTTTCCCTTATAGATTCTTCTCGACTGCTCCTAGCCATGGTCACTTGGGCTACTCCACGTTCGAAGGCCTGTTGCAGCATCATTGGGTTCAAATCATCTTCCAAAATGGTCTTCAGGGTATTTGCTCCCCTCTCCTTAAATAATTAAGTATGTATGTATGTATGTATGTATATATATTTATTATTGTTAGTACCTCAACTGAAATACTCGATTCTGATTGGTTGATTAGCAGTCAACAATATGTTAAGTATCACGACACAAAAAATACAATAATAATACAGTATACAATTGTTCACCTCTCAAGATGTCAACCGGTAGGAGGTCAACAGTAGTTTCAAGGTTTACAGTCGACCGCTAATTGACCAATCAGATGCGAGTATTTACACTGATGTACTACAGAAGAAGTAAGTAGCTCCCAGTATCGTATTCGGGGATTCCCCATTATATGAAGTCTAATCAAATTGCAGGATGTGATCACGTGAACAATCAAAAGCACGTGCTCATCCCACATGCGTAAAGTAACATTTGAAATCGTTGAAATGGCTTTTATTTCAGTTTAACATCATTTCAACATCATCATTTCAAAACTACGGAAATACTAGTGAAGTTACTCGATCCAAACTTGTAGAGAATACTCATAAAACAACAGCGAACATTGTGAGATCCTTTTTAATGGCAAATGAGGCATGTTTATAAAATTGGTCATCGAACGTGCCGAATACTATAGGTCATCTTTGGGAAATCTCCCACACTGGATGTACTAACAATAATGATTGAAAAAAACTCAGCCCGGTCAGTGTCGGCCTATAACAGACTTAAAACAAGTAGCGAATGTCATGAATATGCACCATTCAAAAGTTTGCGTGAGACACCCGTTTGGGCATGGATGGGAAATTTACCACAAATGGCCCGTCTAATTCCTTACTTCGGTGCCAAATAGATGTGTCAGTTACCCCTACTTAGGGGCAATGAATCTAGTAAAAACTATTTCCCCGAAGATACTCTCTTAAAACATTTACTTGCTTATAGGCTAAATGGACATTAATGTTGAGAGATAAACGTGCAGTACAGTATAGTATATCAATATATCAATAAGAGATACCATGGTCATAAAATTATTCTCGCAAAGCCCTGATAACCAATAGAGAATTATGGAGCAGCGTTTTACCCCGTAATCAAAAGCCAATGAGCCTGATAGTTTTGACAAAAATGAGCCGGAAAGGGGCGGCATCGTTTTACTATTAGTTTGTATCAAAAGTACGTGGAGAGTATAGCTGTATGTGCGATCATTTTTGGCGGGCGAATTCTTGAGTTTGACGTGTACAAATCCACATTAAACTATTTTGGAAAGAGCGCTATGTAATTTTTGCAATGACGTGTACAACCATTTACATTATTGTGTTACGGTATTGAGGTTACTATATTCTGTTCGAAAACGACTGTGTTCAAGCCTTCTATACATGAACAAAGTCAATATTTCAGCTGTGGTATATTCGTCAACACTACCCCTGGTAATATAAGTAATGTGTGACGTCATAACGGCGAGCCGAAGTAATGACGGGCTTCAGAGCAGGTGTTTATCATATTAGAATCGTTACAAAGAGCTCGGTTTCATGATTTATGTCAAATATACGACCTTGAATTTTATTCTGGCCAAAAGACCATAGTCGCTACGCGATATTGGCCTTCATGAACAGAATAAAATTTTCGGTCATATGTTACGCCTTAGATCATAAAATCTCGATCTTTATTCCTTAATGTAATATTCATGTTTAGTTAATATTCGTTTTTATCGACAGTGTTCTTTGACTTCATGTAACATAAACACGTATCCATGCGATTTCAATCTGGTTTGCTTTATCAGAAAGATAATGTGCTGTAATGTCAAAATGGATACAGAAAACCATGATGATTAAAGCTAGATAAAATTGTATGATCATAACGTCAAGTTGTGAGGGGTGTAATGAAAATTTTCAAATTTAGACCCTCTCTGTTGCATTCCGAACATATCGAAGAACAAGATTTCCCATAAAAAACAAGAAAAAAATTGTGTTTTTAGAAAACTGAACTTGACTTTGACTAAAAACTTTTAACTTTTACGAAAAAGAATATTTTGCACTTATTCTTCAAAGTATTGACATACTGTATGGGTTCCTGAAAAACTATACATGGTATAGAATTAAATAAAATATGAGAAATGAGATCTATGCTTAATGTAGACTAGATACTGACATGGTGTCATTTCTGTCATTGATACACTTTCACTTTAATTAGCTCTAGAGTTTTTAATTCTAAGCTCGGTTTCGAATCTAAAAAAATCTGGGAAAGGAGGGGGGGGGCGGTCGCCCCAACGCCCTCTCCCTTCCGACGCCAATGTATGTTTATCATTTTTACTAAATATTTGAAGATTATAGTACACATTGCATATAATTCTCAAAATGACAAGATCAAAACAAGGCCATGTAATTTCACAATTGTGGGAGAGGTAGTGAGGTACGCAACAAACGAAATGAATTTGGAGAATGCAAAACTTCATTTGATTTGATAAAAAAAAAATCATAGAAACCGTTGTGTATTGAGACAGAGTAATACCAACGTACCTGTAAGTCTTTAGAATCTTTTTCGAAGCATCCCTTTTCGAAATGGGTGGCAATCTCAATAGTCAGCAAGGGTTTAATGATGCTTTCTGAGTCCAAGTGCAAAGTCAGTTTTACACTCTCGTTGTCTTTTGAAATAAGATCTACTTTCCTCACCGATATCCCTTAATAAATGTATGTAATTAGTCTTATTGCAAGGGTAGTCCAATAAGTCCTGAAATGTTTACGACGCAAGGGTGGGGATTTGAGGGGCAAGTACCTATGTTTCTAATCTTGAAAAACACTGTGTGACTATTTTTTATATTTCTTTCTTTTAAATTATCAAATGTTTTGGAAATCGTAAGATTTAGTTCACTGGGTACAAATAGCGACATTTAGCATGGTGATGTATTATTGCCCTAGTTCAATAGTCACATTCAAACTCAATCACGGTCAATAATTTGTAAAATAGTATCCAACCTGATAAGAAGTCATTGTGTTCCATTGGCAAATTTCATACTTCATCTGGTCTCACAGACACACAAACTTATGATATCACGATGAAAGTATACAAGCAGTATACACCATACATTTTGATGAGGCAGACGCGATGATGAAAAATGATAACTGAACTCTTAATGACAACTCCAAACCTTGTCAGGACTGGGTGAGAAGGCATCAAAAGTGTATTGCTTTCAAAGTCCAATATTTTACGAACGTTTGAAATGGGACACTATGCAGTATCAATCAAATCTATTATGAGCTCCTGGTAGTTTTAAATATATTGTTAAACATACTTATTATAGCTATGCAAAATGGTATTCGTTGATAAATTATTTTACATTTTAATTTTCTATTTTTGAAGTAACAAAAAGCTGTCCTATACTCCTCAAAACTCGCCAACTTGGTAATTGGTAACTCGGAACAATATTGATAAAAGTTAGAAGAATAATTTCAGGACTTATTGGATAACCACCGATCGTACTTTATACAAACAAGTGGAACAGAATGACTTCTTATCAGGTTGGATAATTGCAGCAGTTTTACAATTTATTAAAGGATAAAATTCATTATTTTCACCCTATTTTAATCATTTTACTCAAAATTCAGTATCATTCTATCAATTGTATTTGTAGCCTTCACAGTGTATGGCATTATTTTTGCTTCTTTATTCATTAAATTCAAATATATTCGATATATGAAATATTAATATTCGCTAAATCATTTTCCATTCGGTAAAAACGTTTATATGTTTGTTACAGCAAATTAAGTTTTCAAAATAGCCAATCACTTAATACTATGTGCATTAAATTACATATTTCATTCGCTAAATGATATGGTTTTTGCGTAAATTGTTAAGGTATTCCTTAAGAGTAACACATTATATGTACAATATTGAATTTCTATTTGAACCCTACCAAAATAAGTTTGCCTATATTTACCGAATGGTTTATTTTTCTATGACAAAGTTAATGCATTTTACCGAAAGCTAATTTGCTATTTACCGAATGCAATAAAGTAATATTCGATAACTTTCGTTGTTGTTCGATATTTTGTCACGTGACCTCGAGATTTGCAAAATGGCCGCGCAGCTATTCTACATCGTTCAAATAGATCACGTGACTGAAAGTCTCGTAAAGTATCGAAAAATAACGAAATTTATCGAATGTGGCATTCGGTATTTACCGAATATAAATAATTTAAATACCGAATGTACAAATAATTAATTGAATCATACGTGCGTTAAGGAAAACATATAGATTCGCTGCATCACATTAATACATGTACACTGTGAATAAATATCAAATGTGAATGCCAACACAAAGAACAAGTGAAACTATTTAGCGAATATAAATTGTATAGATTATTACATTAGATAAAATAAAAAACATTCAATAGATTTGGTAAAGGTTTGGTAAATTGTTTCTTTTATTTGGTATTTATGGAATATTTAATGTACCAAATAAAGAAGCAGTTTAAACACAATAATAGTGTTCTGTCCAATTAGAATAACATTTTATCAAAATTGCGACTTTTTGAAATTTTCGGAACATTTTTCTCACATTCTGGTCAAAATGCCAAAATGAGAGTTTTAAATGATTCTGCACTGTAAGCGCCATCCAACCCAAGAAAATAACTTGAAGAAACCCTCGAGCAGTACAACATTGAGATCCACCTAACTAACTGAATTTGTAAGTTTTCGAAATTCCTTCTCAATTCACTAGATGCGAGTAGAAAGAATCTTGATTTACGTTATGAAATATTCAAAATTCAGTAAAAGCGAATATATAGAAATGTGATTTTAAAAAGTGTTTATAACACTTTTTATTTACTTTGAAAATGTGACTTCTACCACAGACCCCATGTTACAAAAAGTGAAACATATTTTCTTGTATTGGACAGGTACACAGCAAATCCCCTACGGTACCGTGCGGTACCATACTCTTAATGTACCATACGGTACCGTGCAAACGGTACCGTACGGTGCCGTATACGGTACCGTGATTTCAGAGTGCGGATTGGGTTTGTAACATTTTCTTTTACTGGACATATTTAAATTTGTATAACCATCAGATACATGAAGGTGATATGAAAATGGAACCACCAAAACTGATAAATATTCAAGTTTAAGGGGATTTTCTAATACCCTGCCATGTTATATACCCCGAATCAGCCACCTGATGGCGAAATTGGTTACTTCCTCCTCGCAACTGGGTAATTGAAAATGACTCTCAATTAATTCATTCTAAGGTAAACAGAACTCATTTTATTCTGTTTTTTTCTCACCAATAAGTGTGGGTATCCAATTAGCATATTTGTATGTACAATTCGCTCAATTATACAATGTATTTAGACACTCACCTTTAAATTTGGAATCTTTTAAACTGATGAATGAAAGATTCTTTCCACCGATGCTGACGTCAAGCCTATCTCCTGAGCCTTAAACCGAAATAAAATATCATAATAGTCAAGAATGTGCAGAAACCTTTGCAAAATAATTACAAAGTTTTAGAACAAAAATATTCTTACATTTCTTAAAGTCAACAGAACTTAGCTCCAAAGGAAACTCATTGGATTGTTCAACACTGTACACATCTTGATCACGATGACTGTCTTTGGTACCAGTTCCAATCTGTTCAGCCTGGGAAACTAATCTAGTCCATGTCAGTAAATAGTTTTTTATCGTATGCTGTGATATTGACCGCTCTGTCAAATAAAAGTTGTAAACGTTTAAAGATCTTTGATGACACGCACCTACCATTCGTTACAGCTGCTAAACTGGTACAGACATTACGTTACAAGTGGAATTTATATTATGTAATATTTTAACGTTACGTAAAATAACACAACACAATACAACATAACCTGTGGTCTTCCGCCAGAATCTTATTGAATGGCGCCGGAGCCCCGAACTGTCTATACAGTGTAACGACTAGCGCCCTGTACCAGCCCTATTTAATACTCCCGTCCCACCCGGCTAATGCGGAATTTTGTGAATAGCTCTTCAAAACATGGCTGTTTATATCTGTTTAAATTACCACAGGTATGGTATTGTTTCCTGGTTTATGCACCAGCGAATTCAAAATGGCTGTCTTAAGCGGGAATTCGCTTTACTTTAGTGTTATCTTCAAATTATGGTTATATTATACTACATTAGATGGTAAATATTATACTGTTTTTATAATTTATGCCTTTGATACTCCTAAATGGTCACTCAAATGCCTAAATTGGTGCAAATGCTGATATCCCCGGTGTCTGTATTTTTATTAATTGCAAATCAAACTTATATTAGGGTCAGAATGGGAGTCAGGCGTGCGTTCGGAGGGATTTTATTGAACATATTTCTTCATGTTTCTAGTATGATTTTACATACAGTATGTATGCTAATTAGATCTTAATTTCTCAGCTTTTAGATTTTGTCGCCATTTTACCTCACATGGGCTATCATTCGGACTTCTACTATAAAGGACCTTATACACCCTCCATTGGAATCTCCCCATGGGAAAAAAATAATTCATCTGATTTTTCAAAATGAGTATTCTGCTTCAAATATTACATTTATATGCACACTAGTATCTTGTTGACCTATATTCAGCACTGTATTGATGTATAGGCCACTTATTAGGGTCATAATTCAATCATGGAGTGTAGAGGCATAGATTCCAAACCAGGAAGTATTTTTGTGTCTGTCAAAATCCATTTACATCCTACGCATCCCTGCATATTATTCAAATATGTTACTACATAATGAAATTTAATATTATAATCTTTGGTTTTACAAACTTGTATGACATTTGATAAGTGTAAAAGGTGTTTTTGGAGCATTTTTCTATAGCCATTTTGTAGGGGAAAAAATGATGAAAAAATGTACAATCTTTTAATTTTAAGTATGACCTGAATCGATTGCAAACTTCATATTTGCACATTTGATGAGATAAATCATTTGTGTCGTATTGTGAAATTATTAAGTTTGCAATCGATTCAGGTCATAGTGTATTTTTGGTATTTCTGTGATAATCAATGGATACCAATGGCTTCTATTGGGATCTGCTGATATCCTCATGTTAGGTCGATGGTGCACAGCCCATGTAAGTCAATACAACCTTACTGAACGAAATGATCCCTATCTCAGCTTATGTGTGTCCGAGCACTTTAATATTTTCCAAAGTATTATATGACATTTTATTCTTCATGTTACACCTACGAATGATTCATTTTGACCATAGGAATATTTGCCAATAATTGCACCTTGTCCTTTGAGCTAGATATATTGGTTTGGCCATTTTATGTATATTTTGGCACCATTGTGTTAGGAAGGATTTAAATATGAACTTATAACTTATATAATATATTAGCAACAATATTATGTAAAGATCAGTCCACAGGATCTCAGATTTCACTATGGGACACGTTTCTCCCTTAATTCAAAAGTTATAGCATCCATTCAATATAGGGTCCGAATTTCCATAAAACCCTGGTTATCATGGCAACCAATCATAAAGCAGCTCCCAAGGTATAATGAAATACGTAAAACCAACAATTTACAAAGATCTGAAAATGAGACCTGTATCTCCCTTATATCAAAAGTTATAGCATCCATCCAAAGTGGGGGTTCGAATCTGTGAAATAGGCCCCTATGTAAACCAGAACAACGGCAACGCCAAAGCGTAGCGAATCCCATCGAACATTTTGAAAAATGGCCGCCTTCTACCAAAAGTCTCATTAGACAGTGTGCCATGCTTATAGTATTCACATACCAAATATGAACAAAATCGCTCCACTACTTTTCGAGTTATAGTAAAAAACGTTAAAATGGCGGCCATTTTGAAAAATGGCCGCCTTCTACCAAAAGTGTCATTAGACAGTGTGCCATGCTTATACGTATTCACGTACCAAATATGAACAAAATCGCTCAACTACTTTTCGAATTATAGTAAAATAAGTTAAAATGGCAGCCATTTTTCAAAATTTTCACCATTTTTCAAAATGGCCGCCATCTACCAAAAGTGTCATTAGACAGTGTGCCATGCTTACAGCATTCGAATACCGAATATGAACAAAATCGCTCCACTACTTTTCGAGTTATAGTGAAATACGTTAAAATGGCGGCAATTTTGAAAAATGACCGCCCTCTACCAAAAGTGTCATTAGACAGTGTGCCATGCTTATACGTATTCACATACCAAATATGAACAAAATCGCTCCACTACTTTTCGAGTTTTAGTAAAATAAGTTAAAATGGCGGCCATTTTTCAAAATATCCGCCATTTTTCAAAATGGCCGCCTTCTACCAAAAGTGTCATTAGACAGTGTGCCATGCTTATAGTATTCACATACCAAATATGAACAAAATCACTCCACTACTTTTCTAGTTACAGCAAAAATCGTAAAATAACGAGTAGAGGCCGCCATTTTTCAAGATGGCTGCCATGTGCTTTTTTAATATCTACATTTCTAGCTTTATTAATGTCCTATATAATTTTTTTACATTTAAAACATATTGCTATTACAGTTTTACATATTACACCTAAATTACTGTAAAATTGGCACTAAAATGGCCGCCATGAGCGGCCATTTTGAAAATCGGCTTTCGAGCAGAACTTCTACCCCCATAGGGTATATGTGTACAAAATATGAATAAAATCGGGTAAACGGTATTTGAGTTATTGCCCGGACGGACGGACGTACTTTCGCAGAGTCCTTTGTGCAATTTTTTCCTTGTGCTGTGCAATTAGATTAGCGGGTTGCACATTCTAGTACAGTCCACAGTGCCAAATCTGTCCAAGTTATAATAGACAATGTTTATCATATCAAAATTGATACGGGGTGCGATTGTTCTTTATGAATGTGAGGTGCACTGGTTATGAAAACTGACCAACTTCTGGGTTGCACCACAGAAGTAGGTAAAAACCCCAGAAGGGTATATCTGAACGCATGGCGCACAGCACTAAGGACTCTGTGGGAGAGCGGACGGACGGACGGACGGACAGACGGACTGGGCGTTCCCTATATCCCTCCGAACTTCGTTCGATGGGATAATCAAGAACCCATATAAGGCCAAAATCTTAGATTCTGTGCACTGATCTTTCCATAAAAGTGTTGCTGATTTATTGTAAAAGTTTTTTTTATCACTTTTTAACCCTTCCTAACACACTGGTGACAAAATATGCAAAAAATGACTCTATCTTTCCTGAAAAATTGGCCTTAAAATTGACACCTGAAGGGTATGTTTATCCATTTCCATGGCAACCACTTAATCATGTGACTTGAAATTTTTATCATTTATTCCGTTAGCCTATAAATATACCATAGTAATTTGAAATTTTTTGAAGTTCTTGCCCAATTTTATAGTAGGGGCCCAAATTATAGCCCATGGGGGTAAAATAGTCAAAAATCTAAAAACTGAAAAACTAAAATCTAATAATCAATACAAATATGTAAAATCATACTAGCAACATGAAAAATTATATCCCATAAAATATCTTTAAACGCATGCCTTAACCCTAATTCTGACTATTAGAGTAGATAGTAAATGTCATATTTTGACATATACAGACTAATTGATATGAATTTGTTTGTCGGGATTTGTTACTCCGTGGAATTGCCATTTTCTGGTTTACAAACTTGTATAAAGCGGCAAATTGATAAACTGTTGGTGAATCAATTGATATTCGTGTCAAGTGGTGAGAAATAGATGTTCTAACGAGTGGCTTTAAAAAGGTAAGATAGCATGAACACAATCTACATCGTTTAATTAATAAAACCGTTTTATTACATTTTGAAATGGGCTTATATAGCCCTAAGATTTAGTACCTGAAATATCTGTCTTCTTCAGAAGCCTTTCTGTTATTTTTTCCTGGTTTGAAATACAATTGTTTAACCATTTTCTTTTCGATTCCTCTTGTTCCAAAAAGAGAAATTCTCCAAGTGGTGAATATATCTTATCAAGGTCTTTTAGTTCGGAACCATTCTCCTGTAGGAAAGATTCGAAATTCTTTGTCCCGTCAACGATTCCTGGATATTAAAATAGATTATATAAATATTTAAACATATAAACTTGGAGTTTATATGTCGTCTTTGTGCTTTTTCTGATCTTATGAAGTTAAAGGACTAGTAATAAGATGGCAAGAGATTTTGGACAGCTGTATTTTTGGTCACGGGTATTTCCCGACCATACAATGAATATTTTATATTAAAACAATATCTTGACTCCAACAAAAGTGCATGAAAAAAATAAAAATCTCATTTTAATAATGAGATTAGCCATGGATTAGTAACCCACCTCCTCACTTTTTCAATAATGTTGACCTTATATTGAAAAAGAGGACAGTGAATATCAAAGTTTCTGAGCAAAATTAGATTGCAACATTAGTTATCAGTGATCTCATATATAGGAACATTGGATTGAATTCCTAATTTTTTTTAAGAATTTTGGGCTCTCTCTCCAAGAAATACTGAAATAATTGCTATGTGATATCTATAATATATTCAACACAAATAGATGGCAACACGGGCGTGGCATATTTACTTGGTTACCATAGCAACGGCATCGCATATTCAGAATTGCCCATAATATTTCTTGATCATACTTTATACATGTAAAGAAATAGAATGTAAATCAATCATTGTTTTCAGCTTTGACCTACTTTTATGCTGAATGTCAAAGGACAAGGTACCAATTTGGAATCATCTTGAGCAATTTTACCTTATTTCAAGAAAATAATTTCGAAAACAGCTATGGTTGTCATACCATAACAGGTATATCAGTCTGTCAATCTACATTCCCCATGCATCGTCTGATTCTTTAGTTTCCATTTGATGAAAATTTCATATAAACCAGAGCTATCATCATGATAACTGATAGAATCAAGACTTTGGAAAAGACCTGAAAAGTGGGGATGGCATATTCACCTGAATACAACAGCTAACATAGGCATAGCCAGGTGGTGTGATTGGGGCAACCCCCCCCCCATTTACCAATAAAAATAGAACCATTACAGCAGGAGATCCAAGACGTCATATCCATTGTTCTTTCGGCAGAAGAGCTTTAAAATGCTTTTGACTTGAAGCTTCTAGCTCAACTTTGAAGGAATTTTTGTAAAATTCAAGTCAAATTAAACTTTTTTGAGTTGCTTATGCCCATATCGCACCCCCTCCCCCTGATTGAAAGCTGGTTGCGCCCCTGATTAATAATTGCCATTATGACATCATAATATACACAGTCCAAATTAGATAATTTTCTATCGTTATTAGGTTATTTTCTGCCAGCCATCAAATTTTAAAAGGAATACATGTCAGTCAACTAGTCAAAATGTAACATTTCCCAAAGAATTGTTTTCACAGCAGATAGTTTTGCAACATACTGTAACCATAGCAACAGCTTGAATTGGATATTTTCATTACATTTTTTCAATTTTTATGACCATACATGTATGAATGAAATAAACTAATAAACTCATCGAAAAGAAATGAACTAATTAACTACTTAAAAGCATTACTGACCATTTTAAAGACAATAATTTCCCAGATTTTACATCATGATTAAAATAAAATATGCAAGAACAAACGTGTATGGCGTCATAATTAATATGCAAATCACCTTATTTCCATATTTTATAAACCGTTTGATTGCTCTTTCCATGACCTTTCATTTGGTACAAATGTCACCTAAACCTGAGCAATATTGACGAAGATAGGGACCAAACACTGAAAAGAGCCTCTAAAAGTGGGTGGGTGATATTTACTTTGCTACCATAGCAACGCCATATCGGATTCAGAATTGCCAACTTAATATTTCCTAATTGCATTATCCATTATCTTCCATTTGGTGTGAATTTCATCTAAATCTGAGCAATAATGACAGAGATAGGGGCTATACACTGAAAAGAGCCCATAAAATTGGGCGTGGCATATTTAATTGGTTACCATAACAACGCCGTCGCGGATTCAGAACTGCCAACATCATTTTTCTTGATCAGTATCACTTCTAGTTCATGAAAACATATGTCGCTTAGCTCGCCTCTCAAAAGGACACGGAACCTCTTATTTGGACTTTTGCTCCCACACTACATAATATCTTGTGTTATATTTGGAACTCATGTCTTGTACTCATAGTGTCAGCTACTGAATGCAGTTTATTCATACAGAATAATATGGCATTGTGACTTGCAAACACTTGAGTAGTATTATATCAAACAGCATTTATATAGAAGGTAGAAGAAAATGTTTGAAGGATACATGCTGATAAAAGTCATGTTCATAGTAATTTGAGTAATGGCTGATGATTGAATGTACTTTTTTTCTCCAGCACTTCACATTGTCTTGACATTATATCCTTTATGTAACCCAATCCCAAAAGAGGGGTGTATAAATTCAAGAATCTGGCAAACTTCATTACACTTTCATTTGGTTGGGATATAGCGAGGTTTTTATTACTCCGGTCTTATTCCATATAATTATATAAATATGGTGAGGTAGAATTGCTAATCATAAATTTCATTCAAAATGGGTTAGTACAAAACATGGCACCGTGGCATGGCACAGGTACACCCTATGACATAGGCTACGGCACCCCCCATGCCATACTGTAGGCACTAAAACACTATTTCGAGTCAAATTCTTGCATATTTATGTAGATTATGATTACCCTTACAAATGTCTACCCTTCCAAACATTGTACTTGAGCCTCTTACTAAAGTTATATTATCTTTCTTGGCATAGTTTGCCATGAATGAACATTTGTAAATCTGAATCAAGTTACAGACGTATGAAGTACGTACTCAAGGACCCATTCTCTCTTTGCCAAAAACAAAACTTTAGTAAGAGGATCAAGCACAAAAATAATCGAAATAAATCTGAATTAGTATTCAAGAGCCAATGACACAGGGGTGCCATAAAGTATGCCATGGCTTAGTGCCATGTTTTGTACTAATCACATTTTATAAGCTTTTTCTATTTTTATTTCCTAATCAAAATACGGGTGTTTGTGATTCATTTCTGTAAATGTTAAGAATATAAATTGAACACTGTGGCTAGTCGATCTATGTGGATGCAGTCATTTATATGCAATGTATCGTGGGTGCTCGCGTACATTATAAGGAATGGGATCATTGCAAAAATATGACAGCAAATCGAGGTAAGTGATCTCAGAGTATCTACTTAACATTGTGACTTGAAATCTTGCATACATATTCAATATGCATAGTATGACAATGTGCGAAAGTTTCAGCTACCATACTCCTGTTATAGGGAAGATATTTGAAAAACAGTTCGTAAACGTCAACATATATGTATAAAATGGATGTCACTACGTATCATTTGGATTCAGAACGGTAACAAATGGATGCTATAATAAATTATACTTTTATCATAATGATTTATTTACTGATGGACAACTGGCTAGATTTTCTTTGTATCCATTGTTTGGATAAACATTCGTCATTCAGTAAAGTAATTAGCTACACCATTACAAGACACCTTCATGAAGAATTGAAAATACTATATATAAACCCATCAACTGGAAAATGCCATTACAGTTGAAACAACTATGGTTTTATCCCTAATACTGTTAATTTGAAAAACGGGTCCATAACATGTAATGATGACAATGAAAATGTTGAAATAAGGTACGCCAATGAAATGAATTCAGAGCCAAAGACCCATCAACCCACTGGAATACCCATAAATCAAGTTTCATAGCCTTGCCAAAGTCGGTCTCTTTTACTTATCTTGACTTCTATTATGACCGCCTTGTACCCAAGAGAAAGCCACGTGCTTTACCGACCCAATGTTTTTGTTGGTAAAATTTGACCAATCAACGACGGCCCTACATTGCTGGACTAGGTCTTCGTGCATTTCCATCGCGAATTCAGTTTTGATTTTGAATCAACATTGAATTGCATGATTTAATTTATATGAGTAGTAATGAGTGCTTACATTCCAATGTACATTGGAATGTTTGCTAATAACTCAGTCATTCAGCATGGGTTTAAAATCATATTTGGCACAATTAAACCTTGTTCAATTTCAGTTCATTATACATTTAATTCAATTATATTGCAGTTGAAAGTTACATAGGTCAATGCCTTGCGCAATGTGCATTACAGGCTAGCGTTTTGAAATGAATATAGATCAAATTAATTAACTCATTGAGTGAATTACTTATACTTATATTGGACAAGGCTTATTGTGCCAAATGTGACACTTAACCCGATTTATTAATATTTGTCAGGGTTACCTTTTTTAGCTCACCCTGTACATACAATTTACAATTATCAGCAACATAACAAGGCCAATGATTATGTCAATGTACCATACCATACACACTCTCCTATGTATACCGTTCCGCATTAGTGAAATTGGTGACATTAATACGGAATAAATCATACCATTTCATGAAAAATGGTGACCTTGTCCTACGGAAATTGAGATTATGTTTCACAGCAAGTTCTCACGGCGATACTGTATAGCACATGCTCTGGGGAATTGATTCTACTTTCTATAGACACCAATCACATCGCTGTCGATAGAATAATAAAAAAGCCTTAGGGCCCCAACCTCCTTTGTTTACATTTACAAAAACGTGAAAAAATGACAAAAGTTGTCATAACTTTTTAAATCTTAAACTATTGAAACCGATTTCACTTGCCAGCGACAGATACTTTAGTCGTTGACGAACCAAACATGTCAGTTTGATTCGTAATATCTCCAAATAAACGATTTCAACATTTTAAAAAACTCGATGCTAGTCCACGTGTTAATACGGAATTGGTCGACTCGATAAGTAAATTCGATGAACGAAACGGTGTACTCGTGAATCAAATGAAGCAATTAAGATAATTAGTAGTGTTATACAATATTAGTATGTTTTGACCCGGGGTATTAAACATAATACCTTGAATACGGGTTTTAGTAGCATGGGCATTTAATTTCAATTATAACTTCATTCGTCATGGAGAGGGTAAGAGTGTCATGCCGGTTTCAAGAATGTACCAAACACTTGGCAAGAAAATCGT